AGAGAAAACGAAAGCACCTTGTTTCATTCTGTGACATCCATCACCTGCCTCCAGAAGCCACAAAGGTCCTGTACTAGAAGCTGAAATATGATGCTGGAAATACTCCCTTGGTCCCTAGAAGTAACAGGCTCTGCTGAAGCAGCTGGCCTGGCTGGTGAACTCAACAAATGGGAGACCTGGAGCAAGGCCGTGATCACCGCCCGTCATCTGTGCCCTCCATCACCAGAAGCAGGTAGTCTCGTCTTTGCCATTTGCTGCTAGAATCAGTGAAATAAATCTTCCTCCCATCCTGAGTGACCGTAAGATCATTCACAAAGGACATTTTCTTCCCCTCAATGGGTGTCTCGGAGGACAGCAGCAGTTTTACTTCACCTGAAGTTTAAAAAGAAAGAAAAAGATTGACTTGAACTAGGAACTTTCTTTTCAATAATTTCAAAATATTAACCAGCCTGATTTAAAAAGAAAAACTGAAACTTCTCCATGTCATATGTCAGAAGATTCATTCCTTCTTATAGTAAAAACAGTATTAGGTATTAAATGATTTTTTTTTAGACTAACTTCATTAAAGGCAGAATCTTTTCTATAAAGATGAGGAATTCTTTCTTCTAGGTCAATTGACCTAGAAGGTCAACTGACTTGATAACATATATTGCAAGTGTTAGGCAGGCTGTAGTTCTATTTGAGAAAAATATGACATAGTCTACTCATCTGCTTTTAGAAAAAAAAAGCAGTAGTATAAGTTCTGAAAAATAATAGAAAGAACATGGACTGAGTGCTAAGCACTCTTGAGGTGTGACCGCCTTTAAACCTTCACAACAATCCCACGGGCAGGGCTACTATGACCCCAATTTGATGAGGAAGCTGCACACAGAGCAGTCAAGGGACCTGCAGTCACAGCTGGTGGCCAGCAGAGTGGAACAGCCCCAAGCAGCTGGGCTGCAGGGCCTATATTCGGGCCCCCATGCACTGCACAAGACAATAGACTCCTTCCCAGCAGGAACCTCCACTGAGACACACAGCACATATTACAGTCTGGTCAAGGGGACTCATGAGCAGTCAGGGGAAAGAAGAGGATGAACTACAGGAGAAAACAGAAAGGCAGAGACAAAGGGGAGGGCCACAGAGAAGAAAAAGAGAGAAAACAAATAGACAAGATGCAGAGAGACACACAGAAAAATAAAGACAGAAAGAGGTCTAACTTCCTCAAAGTAAGACCTTTTGAGACCCTGTGGCTAAAATATAAATGCTTGGAGGAAATTAGGGTATGGACCAAATGCAATCATGGGTAGGGAGTTTTCTGGTGTTTAAAACTAGCTGACTTTTGCAGGCAATGCTTTCAGTACTGTTCAGTGAATAAGAAATATCAGAGTCTTTAGCAGACTGTTGTTAACAAATCCTATTAAGTCTATACATACATATACTGTTTAAAAGATCTAAAATCATCATAGAAGGAAACAATACATTATCACATACGTTTCCAGGGATTTACTTCAAATAGTCCCTTGTATGCGTCAGCCACAAAGAGAGTCCCATTGGGCCCTGCACGGATACCCAGGGGTCTCCCACACACAGGCTCATCATCTCGGGTTTCTAGAAAAACAAACAGACGGGGATTGGTAGCTGGTCCCAGATTCTACCTGTGCTGTCCTCAGTATCCAAGTATCTCATCCATCCTTTCCCATACAACACGCTGTACAAGACTATGGCATTAGAGCTAGAACCACCCTGCAGGTGCTCACTGCACTGCAAGTGCTTACTGTAAGGTATTCATTGTGGGGTGCTCACTGAGATGCTTATTGCAGGGTGCTTACTGCAGGTGCTTATTGCAGGGTGTTCACTGTGGGGTGTTCAGTGCAAGTGCTTATTACGTTTCCAGGATTTACTTCAATAGTCCCTTGTATGCGCTAGCCACAAAGAGAGAGTCCCATTGGGCCCTGCACGGATACCCAGGTCTCCCACACACAGGCTCATCATCTCGGGTTTCTAGAAAAACAAACAGACGGGATCGGGTAGCTGGTCCCAGATTCTACCTGTGCTGTCCTCAGTATCCAAGTATCTCATCCATCCTTTCCCATACAACACGCTGTACAAGACTATGGCATTAGAGCTAGAACTGCCCTGCAGGTGCTCACTGCACTGCAAGTGCTTACTGTAAGGTGTTCATTGTGGGGTGCTCACTGAGATGCTTATTGCAGGGAGGCTACTGCAGGTGCTTATTGCAGGGTGTTCACTGTGGGGTGTTCAGTGCATGCTATTGCAGGGTGCTTACTGCAGGTGCTTATTGCAAGATGTTCATGTGGAGTACCACTGAAGGTGCTTATTGCAGGGTACTTATTGCAGGTGCTTATTGCAGGGGTGTCTATGTGAGTACTGACTGCAGGTGCTTATTGCAGGGTGTTCACTGTGAGGTGCTCACTGCAGGTGCCTATTGCAGGGTGTTCACTGTGGGGTACTGATTGCAGGTATGATGTAGGTGTTCACTGGGGTGCCGCTGCAGGTGGTTACTGCAGGGTGTTCACTGTGGGGTGCTAACTACAGGTACTTATCACAAGATGTTCAGTGTGGGGTGCTCACTGAAGGTGGTTATTGCAGGGTGTTCACTGTGGGTGCTCTGCAGGTGCTTATCGCAAGGTGTTCACTGTGGGGTGCTCCTGATGGTGCTTAATGCGCAGTATTCAGGTGCTCACTGCAGGTACTTATTGCAGGGTGTTCACTGTGGGGTGTTCAGTGCAAGTGCTTATTGCAGGGTGCTTACTGCAGGTGCTTATTGCAAGATGTTCATGTGGAGTGCTCACTGAAGGTGCTTATCGCAGGGTACTTATTTGCAGGTGCTTATTGCAGGGTGTTCACTGTGGGGTGCTCACTGCAGGTGGTTACTGCAGGGTGTTCACTGTGGGGTGCTCACTGCAGGTACTTATCGCAAGGTGTTCACTGTGGGGTGCTCACTGAAGGTGGTTATTGCAGGGTATTCACTGTGGGGTGTTCTCTGCAGGTGCTTATTGCAAAGTGTTCACTGTGGGGTGCTCCCTGACAGTGCTTACTGCAGGGTATTCATGTGGGGTGCTCACTGCAGGTACTTATTGCAGGGTGTTCACTGTGGGGTGCTCACTGCAGGGGCTTATTGCAGGGTATTCACTGTGGGGTGCTCACTGTAGGTGGTTATTGCAGGGTGTTCATCAGGGTACTCCTGCAGGTGCTTATTGCAAGGTGTTCACTGTGGGGTGCTCCCTGGCTGTGCTTACTGCAGGGTATTCATGGGGTCCCTACTGCAGGTGCTTATTGCAGGGTGTTCACTGTAGAGTGTTCACTGCAGGTGGTTATTGCAGGGTGTTCACTGTGGGGTACTCCCTGCAGGTGCTTATTGCAAGGTGTTCACTGTGGGTGCTCCTGAAGGTGCTTACTGCAGGGTATTCATGTGGGGTCCCACTGCAGGTGCTTATTGCAGGGTGTTCACTGTAGGGTGTTCACTGCAGGTGGTTACTGCAGGGTGCTCAATACAGTGCTTTGGCGTGGGCATTAACTGTGGGGTGCTCACTGCAAGTACCACTGCAGGTGTTCACCATAGGTGTTCACTGTAGGTGCTTACTGCAGGGTGTTCACTGTGGGCTGCTCACTGCAGGTGCTTATTGTGGGGTGCCCACCATGGGTGTCACCCAGTGCTAATGTAGGTGCTCACCATGGATGCTCACTGCAAATGCTTATTGCAGGGTGTTCACTGGGGGATGCTCACTGCAGGGTGCTTACTGCCAAAATGGCATGGAAAAAGGTAGGTTAAAGAACTGATGTAGAGTATAATTCCATCATATGTGTGGGTGTGATGTTCATGAACAAAAGATGTCTGAAAAGTAAACCACTAAAATGTTCACAGTAATAATTACATCTGAAAAGACCAAGGTGATTTTTATTTTCTCCTTTGTACTTTAAATATTTAGGTTTATTAAAATGCATCATTTTAATAAAACATTCCAGCTATTAAAAAAATGGTAACTACTAGGTCTACAGACTATCAGTTTTAAACAGTGAGTCTACTACTCTAGTTTTCCAAAATTTGAATGACTTAAGGGTATTCTCACAGGGCTGAAATTCCTGAGACCAAGGCAGAATAACACTTACACATCCGAGTAATGATACACACCTGCTTTTCCACAGCGCACTGTGATAACACCTATTAGCCTCTGAAGTACTGCAAAGGTAAACAGGACCCCAGTAAACAGTGAGGCAAGGCCCACGAGTACCAAGCAGGGCCACGGCCACTGCCCAGCTGCAAAATGGGGACTGCAGGTGACCATCAGGCACTTGTTTTCAAGGACCAATTAGGAAATGAAGAGCTCATGGTGACGTCATGTCTTCCATCTACTAGATGGTCAGAGGTTCTTTTTCTCCTACAGGCATTCTAGGGAAAAGCAGTTCCACACAGTGATCCGACATCTTTTCTGAAAGACTGGAAGAGATACGGCCAGGGGATTAACACCAACTTACCGTACTGACCCGAACTAAACCGGGCAATGGTCTCTATTTCACCATTTTCAAGTTTTACAACCCGGCCATCTGCTGTACCAGTAAACATCACATCTGTTTAAACACACAAAAAGGAGGAAGAGCAATGTTAGCCTTAAGAACTGGGTGACTCGCTTCACCTTCTCCTATAAGAGGCTTGTTTATGTGTTCCCCCTGCCCCAGAGGAAATGCCAATCTGAAGACGAAAGAGAAGCAATTTCTGGGAATACAAAATCTTAAAACTTACAGCGATGAACCATGGGGCCTAGAAGCAGCCTGTGGGTGTGAAATCGACTCGTAGAGCAAGGGTGCATATGACACCCGTCAGTGATGAGAACTGTGAGGATTTCTCCAGTCCTGAAGCACTCAAGCTGACACTAAAAGTACTTAGGGGCATGAGTTTATATTCACCTCACATCAGTGTCTGCTACTGATATTGATTATATCCAACTAAAGGGGAAGAACTGCCAGAAATCCTTTAGGAGAAAATTATAGCACATGAAGCGCTTACTTCAGCAGCACATATACTAAAATTAGAATGATACAGAGAAGATTGTATAATGCCCCTTGAGCAACGATGATACACAAATTCCCAAACATTCCATAGTTTTCAAATGTATATAGTAAACTCAAGGGTAACCACTATAAAAAGTAAAAAAAAAGAAGTATAACTGATATGCTAACAAAGAAGAGAAATGGCATCATAAAATACCTCAGTTTGAAAATCATAAAGACAAAAAGAGAGTAGAATGCAAAAACAGAAACAAGAATAAGGGCAAAGAATAGAAAACAGTAACAAATATGGTAGCTATTAATCCAATATATCAATAATCACTTTAAACATAAATGGTCTAAATACACCAAATAAAAGAGAGACATTGCCAGAATTATTCAAAAACAAGACTCCAACTCTATGTTGTATACAAGAAAACCCATTTAAATATAAAGACATATAGATTAAAAGTGAAGGGATGAAGAAAGTACATCATGTTAACACCAAAAGCAAGCCAGAGTAGCTGTATTAAATTCAGACAGAAGACTTCTACACCAAGGAAAGTTATCAGATAAAGAGGAGCACCACAATGACAAAGGGCTGACCTCAAAAGACATAAGAACCTTTAATGTGTATATGCTTCACAGCAGAGCACCAAATATGAGGCAAAAACTAATGAAACTGCAAGGAGAAACAGAATCCACTATCACAGAGACTTCAAATAATCGAAACAAGAATAATCATGATGATCATATTAACAGATACAGAAAAAGCATCTAGTAACATCCAACACCCATTCACGATTAAAAGCTCTCAGCAAGCTGGGAGTAGAGGAAAACTTTCTTAACTTGATCAAGAACATTCATTTAAAAATCTACATAAAACATCATACTTATGGATGACAAACTAGAAGCTTTCCTGCTAAGATCAAGAACAAGGCAAAGATGCCCCTGTCACTACTCCTTTTCACTATCACACTGGAAGACCTAGCTAATGCAATAAGACATGAAAAGGAAACAAAGGTACAATAGATTTGGAGAAGAAAGAAATAAAACTCTCTTTGTTTGCAAGTGACATAATTGTTCAAGTAGAAAATCTGGAAAGAATCAACACAAACCCTTCTGAACTAAGCAACTATAGCAAGGTTGCAGGATATTGCAAGATATTGACTTACCTTCCTTTATACTACTGAATGAATGGAATTTGGAATTGAAAAAACACAACACTATGTACATTAGCATCCAAAAGAATGGCATGCTTAAGTATAAATATAACATAATATGCACAAGGTCTGTATGAGGAAAACTACAAAATTCTGATGAAAGAAATCAAAGAATCAAATAAATGGAGAGATATTCCCATGTTCAGGATAGGAAGATCTAAATACTGTCAAGATGTCAGTTTTTCCTAACCTTAATCTATAGATTCAATGTAATCCAATCAAAATGCCAGCAATGCTATTTTGCAGATACAGATGAATTAATCCTAAAGGTTAATATGGAGAGGGCAGAGACTCCAAAATATCCAACACAATATTGAAGGAAAAGAATAAAGTCAGAGGACTGAAACTACTCAACTTCAAGATTCACTATAAAGCTACAGTAATTAAGACAATGTCATATTAGTTAAAAGAATAGAAAAATAAATCAATGGAACATATGTAAAACTTTATCCCAGAGACAGACCCACATAAATATAATCAACTGATCTTTTGACAAAGGAGTAAACGCACACAGTGAACGAGAAAAGACAGCGTTTCCACAATGGTGTTGGAACAAATTTGTTTGCATCCACAGGCAAACAAATCTAGACACAGACTATAATTTCACAAAAATGGAATTCAAATTGGATCACAGACCTAAATGTAAAATACAAAACAAATTCCTAGAAGATAAATATATAGGAGAAAATCTAGGTCACCTGGGGTATGATGATGAATTTTTAGATATAACACCAAGGTGAGATACATGAAGAAATAAAAGAAACTTCTATTAAAATTAAAATTCTTGCTCTGCAGAAGATACTGTCAAAAGAATGAGAAGCCACAGACTGGGAGAAAATATTTGCAAATGACATGTCTGATAAAGAACTATTATCCAAAATACACAAACAACTCTTAAAACTCAACAATAAGAAAATGAACAACCCAATTACAAAAATGGGCAAAAGGCCTGAACAGACACATCACCAAAGAAGATACACAGATGGCAAAGTTACATATGAAGATATTCTACATCAAAATCATCAGAGAAATGCAAACTAAAACAACGAGATACCACTAAGCAATATTAAAAGGGCCACAACCAAATGACTGACACCACCAAATGCTGGTATAATGCATGGAGCATCAGGAACTCGAATTGTTAATGGGAAGGCAAATGGTACAGCCACTTTGGAAACGCTTGGTGGTTTCTACAAAACTTAACCTTACCACACAATCCAGCACCATGCTTTTCAGTATTTACCCAAATGAGCTGAAAACTCAGGTCCACACAAAACCTGCCTACAGATGTTTGTTCCAGCCTTATTCATAACTGGCAAAACTTAGCAGCAACCAAGATGTATTTTAGTAGGTAATTCAAACTGTGGCACAGTCATACAATGGAATATTATTCAGTGCTAAAAGAAATGACACAAGCCATGGAAAGACATGGAGGAACTTTAAATAAATGCATACGTCAAGTGAAAGCTGCCAATTGGAAAGGCTAGCATAATTGTATGAGTCCTGAACTACAAAGAACATTCTGGAAAAGGCAAAACTATGGAGATGGCAAAAGATCAGTGGTTGTCATGGGTTAAAATTGGAGGATGGGATGAACAGGCAGAGCAGAGAGGATTTTCAGGGCAGTGAAAACACCCTGTATGATACCATAATGGTGGATACATGGCATTTGTCCAAACCCATAGAATATATAAAACCAAGAGTGAACCCTACTGTAAACGACAGACTCGGAGTAATAATGACGTATTGATGTGGGTACATCAGTTGTAACAAACGTGCCACTGTGGTGGGGGATGTTGACGCGTGGAAGGCTGTGCATGGCATGTGTAGCAGAAAAAGCATTTGATGAAATGCAACACCCAATCATAATAAAAACTCTTTTCAGAAAAAATCTCTGTACCTTCTGGGCTCAATTTGCTGTGAACTCAAAACTGCTCTTAAAAAAATAAAGCCTGCTTGGCACTGGTGATTGCTCTCTCCCAGCACTCCCCAGAGTTAGCACCTCCCTCCACTGTCAGTAACCTGCCAGCCAGCCTCAGGGAAGCCTTCCAAATGAGGTGGCAGAGACAGCAGCGGCAGGTCCCTGGCGCCCCCAGGCTCACACCCACCAGAAAGGACCCCACTGTGCCTGGCCAAGAACATCACCAGCTCACCAAAGAAACAGAAAAAGCTGGGACCTGGTGACAAAGTACAATCTAAAGTAACCCAGTGAAAAGGAAAAGGCAGGAAAGTGCTCTTTGGGGAGGTAAGATCATTGGTTTGCACTTCAACTGCTGTTAAGTTTCAGTTTTAAATAGCAATATTTGATTTTTCACCAAAAAAAGCTAAAGCTTATAAAATTTACAATAAATAAATGCCAATGTCTTTTTTAAGAGAAATGCAAAGTTCTATCATGATATTTACTTTTCTTGAAACAATTATGACTTTGACAGCCAAGAAAACAAACCAACTGGCAGAATGGACCAGTCCTTAGGGTCGGTGTGAAATAGCAGGGCCTGGGCAAAAGAAGCTGGTCAAACGTCACTGGAAGAGATAACACTGCCTTGAGAGCACAACAGAAGCACCCTGTGTGCACATCCACAGCCACCTACTGCCTGGAGAACAGAGTGTGTTTCGGAATAACAAGCGGCACTTCCAAAGAAGCTGCTCAGCAAGCCCGTACCAGATTAAGTTTTAAACTATCTGTAGACTATCTGTGGCCTTTCCAACACGAAACTTAATTCTCATTTTCACAAACAGAAAATGCCTTTACTCAAGGTTGCTGAGAGATGTATATTCAACCTGTATCCACCTCCTAGCTCTGAGGGGTAAGTGTGATGCAGATGGTTATCCTTAAGGCCCACTGTAAGTGGAGCTTTCAAACAGACAGACAAAAACTGAAATATTGAGAACTATTTGTCTTCACTCACAGTGAAATCTATACAAAGCAAAGGGAACTAAGAAATGCTGTGCTGTCAAATACCTATTTAACTTTGATAAATAAACTAAACATCAGTATCTGTATTTGGCCTTTTTCCTTCGCAACACTCCAGCACAACAAAGTGCTCCACAGAGATGAACTGAAAACCACCAAGTGCTAAAACGGCATGCAACCTGGGCGAGATGAGACCAGCAGAAAGAGCCACTAGGCACTAGGGCCTCCCACGTGGTGTCTGGGGTCCAAGTTCCCATGTCCACCTAAGAAGGATGTGCAGGGCCCCAGTCCAGGGGCAGAGTGCCACTGCAGCTGCTCCCACAGAACTCCGCCCTCAGACAACAGACAGCCTGGAAGGGCCCTCCCCAGCTCAGACTTACCCCCGGATGTGCTATGGATCTCGGTCCAATAAGCTGATTTTCAAACAGCCTTTCTGCCTGCTCTAACTTTGTATTTGGATGCAGAACGCCAAGCAAGATGGGTTCTTGCTGCAAATAATGCAGTTCCAGAGATTTGTCCATAAATACACATGTGAAGTGTTCCGTACCAAGCACCTACTCTCGTTCTTTGATAAAGATGGCACTTTCTAACAACATCTCTAGTTGCCAGAAATAGAAGGGGTTAAGAAAACTGTTCCAGCATATCAGAAAATAAGTCACAGTCAAAAGAAATATAAAATATAAATGTGCTAGCAAGGTCTTCAGCAGTCCTGTCACCTGAGAACACCTAGGGCCTGTGCCCACCCACCCTCCAGCCTCCCCAGCTCCCCACCCCCATCCAACGCCTCAGGGCAGCTGGACCTCCTCACCCCTGTGACTCACACAGCCCTATAGCCACCGCAGTCCACCTAGGGTGGTGGGGGGCAGTGCCCACGTTTCACACCTGATGGCCCGGCCTCATGCTTCACAGAGAAGACCAAATCCATTCTCCAAAATGCTGCTCTATTATTTATTTATTTTTTTTTTTTTTACCATAAATTTGA